TGAGTGTGATTTTAAGTGGAATTTCATGTAGTCACAGCAAACTAACCAAAACAATTTTATTATCATTTTAAAATATGAAAAGAATGACTACATAATAAATTTTCTGTACTTACGGAATGAAAACTAAAGTGCAACATGAAAACTATTATGTAAACTTCTTTTAAAATCTGAGCGCCCTATAGATATAAATTCACAAAATTCAAAAAGCTTTTAAAAAGATCAAGCAATTGATAAACCGACCTACTCCCGCAATTCAGACATATCATGTTAAAAAAGGAATTACAGTTCCTTCTGGAAGGAGGGCAGGTTTTCCAAGTAAGACAAGGCACACACATTGCCAGGAGTGTCTGAACCGGGAAAGCGATATCCCCACTTGGCTAGGGATTGGCAGTTTGCTGGCGTTAAACTAAAGGCAAAAGAGTTTGGGCTCGGTGCGGCGGCAGCTGAGGTTATCTGCAAGGGCGCTTTTCAGGAGCGCGGGTACCGCACCRGGGTGAGCCCGCACCCCGTCCCTGCCCCGCACGGCACCTGCGGCAGGACAGGACAGGGTAGGACAGGACAGGGCAGCTCCGCACCACAGTGCTGGGCACAAAGTTCTCCCCTCGGCCGGCCAGTGCCCCCGCTCTTCTCTCTTCTTTCTCGTCCTTTTTTTTCTCTCTCTCTTTTTTTTTTTTTTTTTTTTTTTTTTTTTTTTTTTTTTTTCTCGTAGCCCAACTCCCCCCCTCCGATCCTCAAGAGACAGGACACAGTCTGGCGACTCAGGGACTCGCACAGGCCAGGCTTCCTTCTGTGCAGCCCTTTGGGTAGAGCTGCTAATCCTTCTTATTAATTAATGAGATAATGGCAGTTAACCGGAAAGCAATATTAATGTTTACTATCTAGGAAACTTCCAAGAGAAATGATTTATTCTTTTTGCCAATTTCCTGGTAACAAAGTCACTCGACTGGAGCTGTGGTAGCATCTTGATGGTGTAAGAAGTTAAAAAACCAAGGGTGCCTGAGCACTACGGGACTAAGGACATCTTCTGTATCTATTTTYTGCCGTGCTCTCTGGATAGTTTAAAAGATCCTCTCCTCCTTTGACTCCAGAGTTTATTAACAGCTGGGAACATGGRCTCCCCCAATTATATCACCCTTACATAAGGACAAAGGAGAGTGTAAACAGTAACATGACTGATCAGAGAAATGTAGTCTGAGAGGCACATGCACTAAAAATACTTAAAAATGTTAACATTTACATGTACCACTGCTTCGGTTCTCTAAACTCTCAAAGCATTTCTCAAGGTCTACTATGCTTCATTCAGTATAAGCTGAATTACCTAACATCAATTTTGCATTTTATTTTCTGAAAAAAAAAAAGGAGCAAAGATGATGAAGGCATTAGGAATTCTGCAGACAAGGCACATTGCTATAGATATTTTATGTTTCAGAAAAAAAAAGGCAATTTTTAGCTTTTTTTTAATTAGTCACTGCAAGACTAACTAWGCATCTATCTGAAGAAGGGATTTATATTATCTTGGTTCTGTTGCAGCAAACAAGTACTGCAGCTTTCATTCACTGATTGTCAAAAACTTTCCAATGTGCCCACTGCAATGCGGATGCCAACCAACGAATCAAAGGCATTCAGCAACTAGACAAAGAGGGTCTGATGCCAACCTCGGTGCCACTGGCAACCATTATTGGCATCAAGCACATTGTCTGCCTTTTTTTTCTSCTCTCCTGGCACTCGACAAACAAAATGGCGGTTCTTGTAGCAACGGGAACACAGCATAAGCGCTGCGCTGAATCAAATACCATCAAATGATTTTATGGACTGAAATGCATTTCATACCAAATGATAAACACTCTCTGATGCTGACAGGAAAAAAAAAAAAAAAAAAAAAAAAAAAGAAAGAAAAAAGCAATTCTGTCAATAGAAACAATGTCCATGCCATTTTCAAGTTTGGGTTTTACAAAAGATCTGTGTGGGACACACACATACCCCGATATGCACAACAGGCAGAGCCCCATAGGAGCGTGTTATGATTAAGAATTATTTTGATGTTAAACATTGATCGCAGTGTATACTTCACATTTTCTTCCTCCAATTCAGTCAAAGGAGCAGCATTGCAACTATGCCAATCCTCTCTTTTTTTTCTTTTTTTTTCTTTTTTCAAGAGGATAGCAGAAAGAGAATGGAGGGTAAAAAATATGCTGAATTTTGAGACGAGCAAAAAGTAGAATCTGAAGAAGTTCGTCAATGATAGAACTTCATAGATTAGTTCTTATTTCTTCTTTCAAGGCATACATGGAAGTAGAAGCTCTTTTTGTTAAGAACTGAAAAGATTATTGACACTTCTAGATCTGGAAATTGTCAATATATTGTAACATTACTCTGCACTGCAATGCGGATGCCAACCAACAAATCACAGACATCCGAGGCTAAACAAAGAAGGTCTGATGCCAATCCTGGTGCCACTGGCAACCATCACTGGCACTCGAACTATCCTTCCTCCTCTTTTTTTTCCCTAATCTTCTATTTTAAAGCAACAAAAAAAGCAAACTACTTGGCGCCTTTCATTTTATGTGCTAATTCCTTCTTCATATTTCGCTCAGGGCTTTAATTGTTTCTATGTTTCCACTTAGTTTTTACATGGTGCTATTAGGATTTATATGTTCTGAAAGATAAATAAAAAGCAAAACGCCATATGTATAATGCAGCATTTTGGTTGACTTCATGCGTATCTTTCACAAAGCCCAGCACTCTTAATCAAGTACACTACAAAGTGCCACAATTAACCTGCTCTCAATGAGTACAGAGAATCAAAGTTTGATAAAACGGGGGAAAAAAATATATATAACTTAATATGACTTCTTCAAGAAGAGATGTTAATGGAAGATTTAGTGTAAAKCAGCCAGACAGATACAAAATACATGCAGTTAGCAGTAAACAAAAGGGTTTTCTAAGAGTGAGTTGGTACGCAGAAATTAGCCAGCTTCATTTCCAGTATATTCTCAAAGTAGCATTGTGTAACTTTGAAAGTTACAATATTGCAGCACATTTAATGTACTCGTGTCCAATCAGACAAAAGTTTTAAATGAACTTATATTCTCAATACATTTAAATAACAAAATCAGCTATGTCCTGCAATTCCTTCTTCCACTTCAAGTTAATGGCTTCCAACAACTTAAAAGTCGACAGCGTGTTAAGAGTACTCTGACCCCAGTTTCTTCAGCTCAACAGCTACTTAAATTGTTTTGCCTCCCTTTGTAGTTTTGACTTTTAGAGACAGGTAAATCCATACAGTTAATCAATAAGCTATGATTTACGTTATATGCATTCAAATGTAATTTAAATCTTTTTCCACAAAAGAAGTTTAAAGGTACAAATTMTTTGTAATTAAGCCACTCTAGTGCTATCGAAGAAATCTTTCGTCCTACGTTATTTAGGATCAGATTTAGCAGAATCTGCAGCTACTTAAAGTCGATGTAAAATATCTAAATGTGTCTATTGCTGTGGAGAGACAAAAAACGCAAAAARTACAAATGAGGGGAAAACAACACCCACTTTTTTTCATGAAAAATAATCCRCGAGAAAGAACTTGTTATATACAKTCACAAAAATAGTTCTTCACTTGGATGAGCAAATGCTACAAGGGAAATTAATTTAAAACAAAAATATTGTCTTGTGTGTCTGTTGTCTTAAAGAATGAGTATACAACAAATTAAGACATGCAATTTTACATTGTTGTTGCTAAAAAAAAATTAATTCAATTTCTTTTCCAGTTAGATCCTGTAGTTATTCATCAGGCATCAGATAACAGCCTGCCATCTGCCCTTCTGCAGGCCATTTCTACCTACTACCAGGCCAAGTTGTGAAATGGCCCACCATCTACAGATGGTCAAACTTTCCCTAGTTGGGATCTTTGGCTAAAAGAGAAATGCTTTGTTACTGCTAATCAGTCAGCATTACAAAGACTCCTAGAAGGTGGTATCATTGCCAGAAAGAACCAAAATGAACGTAACAGAGGAAAAGTATTTCAGAAGACCTAGTATCAGAGAAAAAGGGAAAAAATAAAAAACATCTTTATCTACTTACAGCCATTTACAATTTTAGGGAACCTGCCTATGTATTTTATTATTAAATATGCAATATGGCTAGTAGGTTTTTCCCCAATATATAATTATAAGAAGCCCCGTTTTTATTTGCATCCTGTAATGCTAAGTTTAAGAAACTTTTCAATAGAGCTCCTGCAATTTTCCCCATTTCAATTACCTGCCAAATGCAAGTATATGTGTGTGATTATGAAAATATACCCTTCATAAAAAATTTCTCAAAATAACACTACCTGGATCTTTGCTTTAATGCTCAGATAGGTAACATGAGCTATTGATGTAAAATATAAATTAAATATTATATARTGTATGCAATTCTGATTCTATTTAGTAATTTAACAAATACATCTGTGYTAAAGTACTTTCAAGCTTTGTTTTATAGGTATGAGAAAGTCTACAATTGCTCTTCAATGGTCAGTTTGACTTCTTGATTATTTATAGCTACAAAGACAATAATAAATATTTGTAGTATTTATTGTGACAGTGAAATTGTACCTGCATCTGTTATTAACAGTACTGGGGTGGGGGGTTTTGTTGTGTTTTTTTAAAAAAAACACAGCCTGAAAACAAGAATGTTTTCTGAAGTCACAACTGTATATTGCCACTTTTTCACAAAAAATAAAAGCAACTTCAGTGGACTTGGAAGTACTGCCTTGGTGTGTGTGTCTCTCTCTCTTGAAAGAGCCATGTATGTCAAATATGCATGTCATTTACACAGGTCTGCAGGAATATGTGTGTGTTTAAGTATATATGTATACATGCTGATTTACAATTGGATATGTACCCACATTATATCCACAGACCACAGAACAATGTTTCACTGGAAGCCAGCCCACAGGGGAAACAGGRCTACTTGGAATCAGAGTTTGACATACTAACATAGAAACATGACAATCTGCTTCCTACCTTGCTCCTGCACGTAGTATGCCAAAAACAAATCAAGCTCCTTGACTGATACTGTTATGTGATGTGGCTGGACGCAAAGTGCTGGATTTGTGCAGTGTGGGGATTTCATGAGACGTTCTCCATCCGTACTTTCCAAGGGGATGCCTTTGAACAGGATCACCATGACTAGATCCAGACGCCAGACTTTGTCAGCCTGTCGCAGGCAATCGATCCTCCTAATCTTGCCCTTCTGGTCAGGATTGGACAATACACAACATGGGTGCTTCTTCCCAGTAACCGTGAGCACAAAATCCTCCCGGAACTCTTGACGAATATCTTTGCGCAGCTTGGCCAGGAGCCTGGATGCCCACTTCTGTTTAATTTCAGGCTTTTCACTAAGTAGCTCATCCTTGACTGCTCTTTCCTCATCCTTTGACATTCGTTTTTCATGTTTTTTAAAGTACTTGCGTTTTCGAGCCTGAAGATTGAACCAAGTATAGGCAATTGCACGAACATGTGGAAGAAGTGCCTCAATGAACGGGTGAAATTCATCCTGCGGAAAGAAGTGAAGGGAAAAAAAAGAAGAAGAGAACAAGAAAACTCAAAGTCAGCAAGTTCTCATAACCAAAGCAGTATCAAGAAAGGTTTCTGAAAATCTTTAAGCGAAATATGAGACAAAGAGAATAAACACTTAAAAATTACTCAAATTTCTGCATAACACCTTTCATGAAATTATTACAGTTGTCAGGCAGCAGACAAAAGTGCATAGAGAATCACATTTTTCCCGTGTTTCATTCTTTGAAAGAACCATGTGTAGATTTTATTTTGTATTCCTCCCCTCACTTCATCCCACAACGCTGCAGAGACAACATAATTTAAGAGATGCTACCAAGATGTTTTGTTCCTAACATTTAAATATCTGAGTGAGCAGCTAACATCAAGAAAAGTACCATTGCACAAAGAGGACACTATACGGTTTTAAAAAATCTGAGCAGAAATGTTCAGAAGGCTGAGGCAAATGCCACAGTTCATTTCTCTTCTCTGTGGCACAGAAACACAAAGCATATACATGCTCAGTGTAATGCCACACAGTTCCCGCTTTTGGAGCATGCTCTCAGCAAGAGACTGCTGGTGGCACAAAGAGCATGCGCCATTAAACTTGATCCATTTCTTATCAAACGTCCAACATTCCAGCACTGAAACAGCACCATTCCAGTGGTGGTAACTAGAGAAACCAGTATACAGGAAGGAAAAGCAGGCAAAAGACACAATATGTCATATACAAATCCTGAACAGAAGCTTCTGTACTTTCAGTTCTTCTGGATTCCCTCCCACCACCCCCAAACTCTGCAAAATTAAGAGTTTATGAAGGTGAGAACAAAAATTACATTTATGTCCTTCCAGCAGCTCCACTGTGGGTTCTGAAGCCCCACAGAGTCAGTTAATTTGTTAACTGATCACATGAGTGTGGCAATTATTCCAAACCCCTTAAAAATCAATCTGAGGTGTACAATGAAAAATGGCAACTTGGCACAAACTTTGCATTCTTTGTGTTTCTGCATGCTGTGGCAAAGAGACATTATGAGTCCACTGCTGGTCCAATGCTGCCTTTGTGAAATCCATGCCATTTATTTACAGTTTCAAAATATCCCTTTCTGTCATTTGGCTTCACCTGCAAGTTCTTATCTTCTGCCTAGCAGCAATATGGATTGCATTAAGGAGGTAATGCTTAGTTGTTTTCTACAAGCACATCCTATAGCAATTAAATTAATTTGGTTTGTCTGCTCAAAGTACCATCCTACACATCCATGTTAATATCTAAATAGACCTTCCCCAAAAACTTATTTTCCATGAGCAAATCTGCTGTTTAAAACAGCACAATCTGCTTATCAAACATTAACGATATTTTGGGTTGAAAGGGAGACCTTAGGGGAGGTATCTTTCTTCCTGTGTGCAGGCATATTTAGTTTTAAATACCATGCAGATTGCTCATCATACTTAGCGGCACAGTGCAATCAAACTAAAACTGAACCTCTTTTATGCAATTATATTCAAGAATACAATTAACAAACTACTATTTTAGTTACGCTGCTAGACAAGGAATGAATTATGTTTAATCAATAGGCTGATTAACTCCATTAGGTAAAAATGATGAAAGTATAACTAATGGTCTCAATTATAGAGTGCAGACTGCCATTGCAGAAGCTTSAGGCGAAGAATTCCATGTTTAAATCTTTGAATTTCAAACAAACTTCAAAATTTCCTGAATGCAAAAAACCCACTATATCTAGTTACCTCTCTTCCCTAATTATCCCTAAATCAAACTGAAAGCAACAGAAAAGTTACAAGCAGTTTACCTATGACCATGTTGCCTTCACAGGGGAAAAAAATTAGCGAAAGGGAAAAAAATTAAGCAAAGGGGCAAAAAAGGGAAAAAAAGAGTAGAGAGGCAATGTAGGAATATACTGCAGGATATAAACAATTTCATTACAGTATGATGCTTGACAAAGACCTACAAAGGCAACAATTAAACTGATTAGTAGTTCCAAGCACAGATTTGAACAATTCTGATGCTATACTGGCACATAAAACTAGGCCGTGGAAAGAGTTAAACCACAATCTGTTCTTTGTGTGGGAAGGCAGTACTGCTCTGAGCAACCACAGCCCATGATAAGACTTCCCTATCTTCATATGCTTTCTGATGCCATGCTTTTTTTTTCTCTCAATTAGAACTACTAAAGAAAGTTTATTTTTTCTCCTACAGAAGTCAACTTCATTGAAGAATTATTTTTTTTTTTAATTAATGGAAGCATAAAGACTGTACAGTGTTAAATCCTCACAATTCATTTTAGGCTGAATAAAACAGATTTACTACAGATTGTGAAAATTCTAACAGCTAGGGCTAAAGGTGGGGTGAAGACAGGTGGCGGAAGAGCTTTGGGACAAATTAATTTTTGCCTCAATACTATGATTTCCCCTACAACTAAACAGACTTTGGCATTTRTAACATAAAATGGTAATAAAATAAACATGTATATATTCTACACTAGTAGAATATTGCACATCTAGTTTTAATTTTGAAGAAGAGCATCCTAAACTATTTCAGAATGACTATGCCTTGAGGTAATGCATATAGCATTAACAATAATAACCTATAGCATTTTATATCTATGAAAATTTTATAGAGAATTTCACTGTTTAAATGCCAGTCTGTAGTAGCTCAATGTTTCCTTTCCAAAGGGGGGGGGACCCCAAAATATACATACCAAAAAATACAGACTTTTAAAAACTGTTTTCAGGTTTCCCTTTCGCAGTATTATTAAGTCGTAAAGATATAAATATAGGTGAAAAGTGTAAAGGCAAAAAACAGCGAAGAACATCCTAAAGCTATTCTAAAGCTATTTTATCACACAACTTTGAGCTATTCATTGTGCACCTGGAGTATTTTCAAAAGAAAATACTACTTGACATGGAGAAGTGCCCATAAAAATGATCCTAAATGGACATTTGTAATTAATCACACACATCCTCCACCAAATCTCCTAAAAATATGTCTACAGAATTYTATTTTTCTCCCTTAATATTCATATAGGTGATCGTGAATTATTTTTGGTTTTATGTGGCAMTCATCCATGTGTCACAGTTGTTCTTGCAATGAAGTGATTTATGACGGTAAGATTTTCAAACGTCATATCAAATAGCTCAGGTGAACCATTGTGCGCTGGAATTTAAATTAAAATGGAAGTTACTATATAACATCTATGCAGCTTGTGAATAAAGGAAAAAACAGCGGTCATCAAATGACGAGAGATAGGCCAGGTTTTCTTTATGGAAAAGATAAGGAGGATATGCAGTGCTCTTCTCCTGTCTTCCACTTTTAAACTTTGTATCAGCCCACGGAAGTTGAAAGTGAGGACTGTACAATAAATATTCCGGGCAGAAATATAGAAATTTTATATAGAAGACTTCATCTAGTCGATTTCTCATGCCTAGTGAAGCAACATAGAGGAGCAGAAGAAAATACAACATATTCTGAGTTTCTGGACTATCGTAACATAAAAATAAACCACAGCAAAAATATCAAGAGAGCAGGCACTAAAAGGCATGCAGTAACTGCTTCCTATTCATGCCTCTGCAAGACAGATAAATGCACTTTCCAAAACACAGAGAAAGCATTACATGGGAAAGAGGAAGGGAGCCCCCGAAATTAAATTGCGTTTGGTAAGTTTTCTTCTTCCTTTTCACCCACCAAATTTTTATTGAAAGTRTGACCGGTAACACTGAAATTGCCAAGGTTTGTCTTAAAGCTGTACTTTGGATTTTAGACTTGTTTCTAAAACATGCTTCAGAGCTGTCTCGGCACAAACTGAACTACCACTTTCATAAGTAGCTCCATCCAAACAGGTGTTCTGTATTTACTTTTACCAAAATATTTTCTTCTGAACATATACTACCACAGTCAATGTGCATTGCAAGAGTCCTAGAGACAGAGAACACAATAGAGAGAGCAATTTTGGCAGTAATATTTTAATGCAGTTGCTACTCAAACTGAGATGAATCAATYTTTTGCCTTAAACAAATAAAGGACACAAGGTATAAGTTCTCATTGTGGGTGTAATTTAAATTTTTAATTTCTGTAGAGGAAAATCTTATTTGTAAACCGCTCTTATCATTCCAAGTAGGTAGGAAAAGATTCCAAACTAAAATCAATTTGCTGCAACTATGTTCTATGTATGTCTCACCAAATGGGAATTCTCTCTGCATGGCACACGATAGAGCGTGATTGTAAAATATTGTGAAGAAAATATTAATGCACAAACCAGGCAGTGCTTTATTGAATTAATGGCAGTAGAAGTACAATGTAGTGKTTTTGTATACACCTGAGTGCAGTATTTTAACACAGATTTGTAAAGCAGTAGAAAATCTACTACATCAGTGAGTCCAAAAAGCAAATATATGGAAAAAAGTCATTAAAGCAGGAAACAAGATAATGAATTACTGCTGTAAAAGAGGTGGTTGTGAAAACCTGTGTTTCAAATGCAAAAACTTCTTTCTTAAGTWGTACTCTCAGGTTTATACTGTGATGTAGACGACGCATTGCCTATCAATAATTTCACATGCTGGACAGCCTATACAGAATTTATTTTTCTAACCACAGATTCCATAGTAAGTAATTATTTCTATGTGTGTACCTGCAAGTATGTGTGTATGTGTTACACAAAATGCTTCCTATGTTTCTCTTGTGAAGAAGAAATATCTCAATAACACTTTTTCCAGCTTTCTTGCATTGCAATTCACGTTTACTTACTGAAAATATCCATATCTAAGTCAATCACACTTAGATGCCAAACAAAATATAAACAATAAAAAATGTGTCAGCCAAAAAACTACAGGACTGTGTCCAATCACTGAATAAGCCTTATCATTGTTTCCATCTTCAATCACAATTTATGAATACTTTAGCCCTTTTGAATTGCAGTGCTTTGTAACTGGGGGATAAAGTTAAATCATATTTATTTATTCGCGGTGCAACTGTAAGTGCATCGTTGGCCTCTCTGCAGCAGCCTTGCAACGGACGTTACTTTCGCACATTTTCTGCTTCTTTAGCTATTTGTTGCACCAATGTGGAAGCAAGCAGTTATCGCTTAATCAGTTTACATCACATCCTCCTAAGACAGACTTTCACGAAAGCTGAAAACTATCCCCGGGCTTTGCACGCCGTCCGAAACAGGCTCCGTGCCCCGGCACTCGCTCGCCGATACCGTACGCCGGGCGAGGACGCCCCAGGAGCACTCAGGGAACTTCCCAAACCTGCTCCCGAAACCCCTCAGGTTTCAAAAATCCGCATTTTGCCGAAGCAGGGACCCCCGCTCGGGCTGSCCCCGCGCTCCGCGCCGCGCCGCCTCCCGCCCTCCGCGGCCCCGCATCGCACCGCGCCGACCGCCGCTCCCCTCCCGCCGTCCCGGTGCGGTGACAGCCGCCGCTCGGGATCCAAAAGCGCCCGCAAGTGCGGCTGTAAAAAAAAGCTCCGTCTTTTCCCCGTGCTGGAGAGAGTGCACACTCCCCGCCAGCACCACAGTTTAGCGGGGAGGGGGGAAAAACACCGTGGCCGTGTATAACCGAACGAGAAAACACAGCACAGCTTGGTTATCCCCGCTCGCATCTCACATTGTTGGCAGCCTGCATATTATTAATTAAGCATAAGACGGGATTACTTCGCACCGGCGAGTTAGTCCTGTTTTGTCAAAAAAAGCACTTTTCCTTTCAAACCCTTTCATTAAGGCTGTATATAAACAGGCGACCTGAAAAGGGTGCAAATCGTTTGATTCCAATCAAATCAATACTTCTCAAACCTGGGTTTTTTAGCGTAATTATGCTCATTTCCAGTTTGTTAACCTTTGACTTCTTATGCACCAACAATTAACAGTATTTGTCTACGACTGACACTTTGAATGGATCTCCCCAAAACAATGGCCTGGTATAGTTTATTCTCTAATATTCCCTCCTGAGAGAGGAGTTTGGATCTGACAAGCAGTTACAACTGTGCTTTAACCCGTTACAACTACTAGCAATGACTCATTAACAAATCACATGCATATGAAAATTTAAAAAAAATCCCAACAAACACGTGAAAATAAATACATTAACAAATAAATTAAATAAAATGCGTCTATACCTGAGTGAGACAGATTGGAGAATACATCATGACTTCGCTTTGAGAACACGCTGCCCGGAGAGCCCCTAAGAAAAGCCTCAAAAAGGAATAATTTCATCTATTCATTTTACAGTCATCTGAGACTCAAGGAAGATGAAATCAATCAGGACGGGGCTCTGCTCCGGATCACCACAACTTCACAACAAACCCCAGTCCTCCTTAAATAGCCAAAGATTCAAGTTCACTCCGTGTGCTAGATTTCCCGGGGTGAAATCCAATCTACACTTTTAACCCTCTTGTAGTCGGCGGCGCAGGAGTCTTGCTTTTGCTGCTGCTGCTGCTGGTGGTTGTTTTGCAGATGAGGGGGGAAGGACTCGGGGGGGGTGGGGGGGGTGGGCGGGAGGATTTTTTTGTTTGGCTTTTTTTTTAATCCTTTTTTTCTTTTTCTTTTTTGGGGGGGTTTGGTTTTGGTTGGGTTTGTTTTTTTTTTTTTCAGAAGTTGGTGGTGCTGCCGTAATAACACCACACTGTCACCACGCTTTCGAAAGTTCAAGGTTACAGCCCAGAGCGGAGCGAGAGACTCCCGGACAGCGATGGCAGGCGAAACTTCGCCGGGCGGTGGAGACCGTGCCGCGGGGGCGCGCCGAGGCGGGGGCGCGCTCGGGCAGGCAGAGCGGGCGGCGCGGCCTGCGGGCTCATCCAGCGGCCTCTGCTCGCCCGCCCGCCCTCGCTGTGCGGGCAATGGTGAGAGACAGCTTTCCAAACGGCCACCGTAATAAAAATTATCCCCTGAAAATTCAAACGATAAATCTCTCCCTGGCGCTCCCACCCGATTTGCTCTGAACGTGTCCGTGTGCGTCGCCGTCGTCCCCCACCCCCCCGCCCCCGGCCCACCCCGCCCCTGACTCTGCAAAACTTGGAAGTTGAAAAATTCACCGGTTACACCCTGTGGACCCTATTCCAGCTCTCTCCCCAAATGAGACTAAAGCATTTTTTTTTCAATTATTTAATTACACAATCACCGCTTACACTCCTCCTCCTCCTGCAAACWCATGCCTTCTCCACCAGATCCCCTTCCTCTGCCCTCCCTCTGCATTCATTACCACCGAACGCTGCAGAAGGAACGAGCACGTTTCGCAAACATCCCTCCCTCATTTTCCCGCTCTTCTGGTGGGAGAAAGTTGCGGGGGCGAAGCGGGAGGGGGGGCTGCCATCTGCGAGAGGCTTCTTTTTCTTCTTTCGGGGTACGACTTTGCCAGCTGCGGCGGGGCTCAGGAGCCCCCGCTTCCCCCCTCCCTCGGCGGGGGACACGGGGGAGGGCAGCCCCCTCCGCCGCACCCCCCAAACGGGGGAGCCTGTCCCGCACCGCCGGTGGCTGATGTCCCCGCCCTCGCAGGCTGCGGCCGGGGGCGGCGAAGGGGTCCCGGCTGCCGGGCGGCAACAGGGCGCGGGGTCTGGTTTCATTCTCCCGGGGCAGCTTTAACTAGGAGAGCCGGGAAAGGGGGGAAAACAGTGAGCGAAACTTATTTCTGCTCCTGTGAGGCGGGCTGCGATGCAGTGCCCAGCTCAGAGGGAGCCCGGTGTGCGCGGCCCCCACCCCAGCACCGCCACTGTGGGCAGGGGCAGCCGAGAGCCACCGGCGCTCCCTCCCGCTGCCCTTGCGCAGCCCCCGGCGGCGTCCCGGAGGGACCGCTGACTTCCTCTTTGCCCAAAGTGAGAGTTTATTCACGTCAGGCATTTCACAACGACACATCAAGGAAAGTAAGCAGGTTCAAGTCAACCATGAAATGGTCACTTTTTAACCCCGTCCTGTCCTCATTAGGGAAATGCTCAAACACAGCCCATTTTCAAAGAGGGTTCTTAATGAGGGGAGCTTGCCAAGGCTACCAGCTGCAATTCCCATAAATTTACAAACCAAAAGAAGCAGAGGGATGGGTGGGGGAAGGAGAGAGCCCGTACAAGACAGGTAATGTCAAAGGAAACAGCAAGAGCCCAAAGCAGTATCCACCCTTGCAGAATCCAGGCCATATCCCGCAGCTCGGTTTCTGGCTTCTCTTGCCCAGTTCCCGCAGACTTGCTGGGTTCAAACCACCACCGTGCATCTTCTCTCCTAAGGACTRTACCGGTAGGTAACAAGTTAAGGACATACATTTAGGGAAGAAGGGATGACACAAACTAGGGGTTAATCATAATCAGCAAAATTTATTTTTATATCTGGTGTAAAATACCCCCCAAATCTTAATAATCATTTTCTCAATCCAGACATTCAAAAAAGTGATAATGCCAGTTTAAAATAAGGAGTTTCCCTTCCAATAAATGTTCCATTTAACTGGATTTAATTTACCACAAAAGACAWTCCTCTTGGCATAAATGCACTGATGTCCTTGAACACACCTCTTTGAGTGCTTGAACTCTTACACAACAAGCCGTTATTGCAGACCTGATCTAAATGACAATAAACCTCCTCTGTCCCTTGTATCATTCTCATCCCTCCATAAGGATCAGGGCCACCTAACCAAACCCCTAACACTGCATAGCAAGGCTGCCCCTGCCAGCTGCACAGATGTGAGAAGTCATCCCCTTTTTAAGCAGAGCTTGTAGAAGGCCCCACTGCCTCCCAGGACCTGCCCAAGGGATTGCTTTGCACTAGAGTCCTGTGCATTAAAAGCAAAAACTGCCTGGTAAAGTCTGGCAAACAGGAAAAAACAAATGGAGTGAGGTAAGGGCAGAGAGAAACCAGTCACTTTCTGCAGCCTTTGTTACTGCAAGGGATGTGGAGTCAGTGTGAGATTGTGTTTGCMTCCCCACAAGAACTGAGGATGGGTTTGCATCCCTACCCAGAGTGCACAAGATGGAGATAAGCACAGGACAGTCCTGCCCCATGTGCCAGTATCCCCCAGAATAGCACTGCTGTGGATGAGCAAAAGCCTGACACCCCCATCCCCAGAGCCAGTCTGCTGGCCAGGACTGAACAGGCCTCTCACAGGAAAGCCTCTTGGGGAAAATGGTACTGCCCAGCCTGCATGACTCAAGCAACATTTTATTTTGTGCGTGATCTAGAGGGCATGGCAGGAATGGTAAAGGTTGCCATGGGTCTTAGCCATGGGTTTGATCCAAAGCCTCCCAGTACATGATAGAAAGCAGGCTGAACTGGGCACCCAAACACAAACTTCGGCTCTGTTTCTCCTGGTTAATCCCGATGGGAACCCGTAAAGGACAAAGSCTTTGTCCTGGGACAGTCCTCCTCAAAAATATGTGCACACATGCCTACATCCCCCATCTTCCATCCCACCCCAACCCCTCGGCTCCTTTCACAGAAGAGCAAGCTAATGATTCTTCCAAAATGGATAAAGAGCTGCATTAAAATAATAACAAAGTGTACATTTCTATCACTTTGTTTCAAAGGTATGTTGAAAAGGCTACGTGGTAACTGAGTTAGACTGGAGAAATACGGCATTAATGCAGCAAGGACAGCAGCCATAGTGGCTGGGCCTTGGCATGCAGGGAGACCTTGTGAGAAAGTGGTTCTATTGCTTTCAAATTCTTGCTTGCATTAACTCCTCAACCCCGCCAAAGACACTTCTCTCCCTCCCRTTAATGCTGTGAGTTCTCTACCCTTGAAGCTCCAGAGTGTAGGACAATTGCTTTTTGTCCTCACTGCCAGAGCTATGCCRACTTCATGCTATATCTGGAAGTTCAACTAGCATTTCAATGTGGGCAATTAAGAAACTAAAAGTCACTATCTGACCTTCCTGGTGAGAGACWCTGAGAGCTGTTCTCTAACACCAATCCTAACCCATCGACTTCACAGGGCCAGGTTGGTCTGAGGGATCCACTCTCAGGTGGGATGCAGTTTGAGCACTGATAACACCACTTGGAGACACACACAGAGCTGGGCACAGGCACACTGCTGCTAGAAACCTTAATGTGACCAAAATGTATGTTCAGGAAAAAGGCAGCTGACATCAGTAAGTGGCAGATACCAAAGCTGTATGTAAGTCACCCTAACCCTGAGCCTGCACTCTGCAGACTGTGGGGTTGCTCCTATACTCYCCCTGCCTCCCATTCAACTCTGGCACGGTGGCCAGGTTGGGGGTACATCCGCTGCCCACACTGCATGATCTGAAATGCTCATCTCAAAGCAAAGATCACCAAAAACCAAAACCTTTTTGACAGCATGGGCAGGTGGGCTCACTCTCTTCCACCCATCCTAGCTCCCCAGAGCAGTTTTCTGCCAGTGGTGCAGACTGTGGTATGCCAGACTTGCACTGGAATCACGTATTTTTACCCTCTCCCTCACAAAGCATGCTCACAAATTTTATCAGATGCTGCGAAGTGGCACTGCCCTCAGACTTCAGAGATAATAACATCTAAAGTTATAAGTTAGACCACTTATATCCCAACTAGAGCAGAATTTCAGCCTCTGCCTTTTGGCTGGACAACTGCTCAACTCTTTCAAGTTTTGGAGCACAAGACTATTATTAATGGAACAAAAAGAAAGGAATTATTAATGCTGAAGTGCAAAGCCTAAGATTATCTCAGAATAAAAGTAGGCAGTTTGGTCAGACGTCTATACATACTGAGAACTTCTAAGAAATCAAGTTTTCATGAGAATTCCAGTCATCTCTTTTAAAAAATCAGAAAGAACTGATTGTGGCATTTGGCATCCCATCTAAAGTATGAAATATCTGAGACCCAGCACCAAAACTTTTCTSGAAGAGGTCTCTATGATCTGTATTGGACAAGTTTTGTAGCATTTTTATATCTAGTTTAATAATAGTGTTAGCTCCTTTTTCACCCTTTGTTAGAAAATGTMATTAACACACAAGTCCATTCAATAAACAATTACTTAGGTACAAACATAAATACTGAGTAGCACAAATAGACTATTGTTTGTGTCACTTATGAATAACAAATAATCCACTCCATATTATATTGCACTGTTACCTAATGGTGATTCTATCTGTACGAGTGGTCATGGTTCCTTGCAAGACTTCTTGTACAAGCATATTAACCTACAAAGTTCTGTATCTTTGGCATAACCAGAGCTTTGGTCAGTTTTCTTATGTGCAGGAATATTGTCTGTGATTGGAAACACACACACACACACACCACACACACACACACATATATATATATATATATATATACACAAAGTTTACAAACACATGTATATACACAGAAATGCAGGGGGAAAACAACATAACTAGTTAAATAAGTGAACTGATCATATATTGGTTTATTGGACCTTCATCTATTTCTTATGTGACTAAATTTTAAGCTATTTATGACTTCAAATGTAAACAGTAATCAGTACAACTTCTA